GTACAGAGTCTAATGTGAGTGTTAGGAAAGTCACTATTACCAGAAAGATTATGGAAAAAAGCTGTCTTTTGCTTAAAAAAAAGAAAAAAGAAAAAAGAGTAGTAGTCTTTCCCTTTTCTGTGCTTTCCAAGGTGTCTGCATTAAAGCACAGATGTTACTTTTGCAATTAAAAAATAAAAACAGGCCAGGTGCAATGGTTCACACCTGCAATCCCAGCACTTTGGGAGGCCAAAATAGGATTGCTAGAGCCCATGAATTTGAGACTGGCCTGGGCAACACAGGGAGACTCCATCTCTATAAAAAAAGAAAAATTAGCCAGGTGTGGTGGCATGCATCTGCAGTCCCAGCTCATTGGGGGGCTGATGTGGGAGGATCATTTGAACCCAGGAGGTTGAAGCTGCAGCGAGCCATGATCATGTCACTTCACTGCAGTCTGCACAACAGGGGAAGACCCTGCCTCAAAAATAAACAAAAACAAGAAAAGAAAATCAAATGGAGACTAGAGAATGCCTTCAAAAGAGCTTCAAGGACACAATGACTCATGCCTGTAATCCCAGCACTCCGGGAGACTGAGGTGGGTGGGTTCCTTGAGGTCACGAGTTTGAGACCAGCCTGGCCAACATGGTAAAACCTCACCTCTACTAAAGCACAACAACTAGCTGCGTGTGGTGGCACACACCTGTAGTCTCAGGTACTCGGGAGGCTGAGGCACGAGAATTGCTTCAACTTGGGAGGCAGAGGTTGCATTGAGCTGAGATTGCACCACTACACCCCAGCCTGGGTGACAGTGCAAGACTCTGTCTCAAACAAAACAAAAAGAGCCATGATACCTGATAGGAAGCTCTAGGGGTGACACATAATCCTGAGAATTTAACTGTAACAAATATTGTTACAATATTAATTTTAATTATTAATTGTAACAAGCGTTATTCAATCCCTCTATAATCCTGGCATTGTACTAGCTGAGAATAGAATACTAATAAGACAGTATCTTTATCCTTGAGGGGCATGAAATCACCGGGAGCTAAAAAATAATAGTATTATAATCAAAGACTACATATAGAATTAGGATTGATATAAACCAGTAGTAAGAAATTGTGAGAAAAGTAGAAAATATTGCATCAGAATAAATTTCTTTGGGTGCTTTCTCTAAAAGAGTTAAATTTCAAAATTATTTTGCTATGATTACCAAATAACATCTATCATTAAAATTTTTCAACATACTTAAAAGTACATTGAATAAAATTTTAAAGATTTATAATCCTACTACCTGGAGATAACTATAATAATTTATCACATATACTCTAGACCTTTTCCTATACACATACTTTATTTTTTACCTTTTTATTTTTTTTTGCTCTGTTGCCAGGCTGGAGTACAGTGGCACAATCTTGGCTGAATGCAACCTCCGTCTCCTGGGTTCAAGCAATTCTTCTGCCTCAGCCTCCTGAGTAGCTAGGACTGCAGGTGTGGGCCCCGTGCCCAGCTGATTTTTATATTTTTAGTAGAGATGAGGTTTCACCATGTTGGCCAGGGTGGTCTTGATCTCCTGACCTTGTGATCCACCCGCCTTGGTCTCCCAAAGTGCTGGGATTACAGGCGTGTGCCACTGCACCTGGCCTATTTTATTTTTTCGAGACAGAGTCTCAGTCTGTTGCCCAGGCTGGAGTGCAGTAGTGTGATCATGTTGCACTGCAGCCTCCACCACTGGGCTCAGTGATCCTCCCACCTCAGCCTCCCGGGTATCTCGGCCTGCAGGCATGTGACACCATGCCCGGCTATATATATATTTTTGTATTTTTCCAGAAATGGGATTTCACCATGTTGCCCAGGCTGGTCTTGAACTCCTGGGCTCAGGCAATCTGTCCTCCTCAGTCTCCCAAAGTGCTGGGATTACAGGAATGTGCCACTGTGCCTGGCCTGCATACTTTTTTTTTTTTTTTTTTTTTTTGAGATGGAGTCTC